GGTAGGAGATTGCTCAATTTGCAACGTCCTCCTCACACTCTAGAAGCACTTCGAGAGGAGTTGGTGGTTGCCTGGAATGAGATACCACAGGAGGACACTGACCACCTGATCAGAAGCATGCCTAGGCGCGTTGGAGAATGCGTAGCACATCAGGGTGCATCCACACATTATTAAAGGTCAAAGGGCTTTAAAGCAGTGCAATCATTTTTAAATTTTTATCATTTACTTATTATGCTTCATTCAGTACTTATACAAAATTTTATTAAAATAAAACCATTTAAACTGGGTGTTCGGATTTATATGTCACTTAGTATATAATGTTATCAGGTGTATGGACCTCCAAAAAAATGAAAATTAATATTTTCAAAAGCGGTTCTGAAAATATTAATTAATTTCCATTTTTTTTTCCTAAAACTTCAACACCCCGAGTTTTTGTAAGGAAACATTTTTGGACCATAGTTTACAAAGCAAACTAACATAAATGTTTCGTGCAGATTCACACCCTCGAATATTCGCATATCATTAAGGAACACCCTGTATATTCGTCCAGTCTTCACAGTTCTAGCACTAACCACGGTACCACTTTGCAACTAGATTGCAGAAAGCTTACCAATCCAGTTTGTTTCATTTGAACAGCAAACACATGACCAGCCCTAACTACAAGTAAAGTTTTCCATTTATTCAAACGGGAAGGATTGTGCTGGCACAACTAAATGCATGTCATAAGAATAAAATATAGATGCAATGAGTAGGTGTATTATATTTGGCTACCTTGTGGCCGAGTATGATCATATGTCCATTAACAGATGGATACGTGCCACAAATTCGATTCATAAGATTGGATAATCTTCAATTAGTGTGACTGGACATGTTAATCGATATAAAAATAATGATGAATAAATTATAACCTTTTTCTTAATACACAGCAAATACACGATTAGCCCTAAGTATAAGTGACATTTTAACTATCTATCCCAAAACTGGCGAGGAAGTATTGTATTGTAATAATTTTTGGATGGTATATGTTATGTATATCACGAAAAACCATGTCATTCAGTTCTTACAAGGTTACTGCTATGCCAAGGATGAAAAAGCTTTGTAGTTTTTGAAGATCTGTCTATTGGTGGCGGACCTAGGGACAAACACACGAGCAAAATAAAAATTGCTTAAACTTCTTTTTTTCAGAACCTCCGGATCACTTAAGGAACATTTTTTGTAGGTTGCAAAGAGTAAGGGGTTGTAAATGTAACGTCTTTAGTATTGGTCAAAGACATTACGAGCCCCTTCCCACTTCAGTTGGCCCACTTCAAGATTTGTACCAAAATATGCCTTTATAAACTAAACATGACGAAACTATTTACTTCTAAAACAATTTATTTTCTCAAAAACATTTTAGATACTCTCTAGTCGTAAAAAATACATATTTGAAATCAGTTAGACCCATAACTAATAGAACATCTGAACAAATAAACAATGTGCGAATAAATGTGCGAAGTTAACAAAGCAACAATTGAAAGATTACCATTGGGTAACATCACCTTTATTTTTTATTACGGCTGAAATTCTTTGGGGCATAGTGTTAACCAAGTTTTGGCAAAAATTTGGTGTAAAACAATCCCATATTTCTTGAAGCTTTTGTCTCAGTTCGGTGATTGTACGAGCAGGATGTTGTCGTAGAACCTTTTTCATCTCGTGCCACAAAGTTTCAATAGGTGACAGATCTGGACTGCTAGAAACCCATTTCAAAAGTGGTACATTATTTTCTTCCATCCATTTTAAAGCCCTTTTTGAGGTACGGCACGCTGCACCATTTTGCTGAAACACAAAATCTTGGCCGGATGTCAAACATTCTTCCATCACTGGTAAAAGCGACTCTTCAAAAATTGCCAAATATTTGTTTGTATCCACATTTCCATCAATAAAATGAAGTTTTCCTACTCCTTTTGATGACATACTGCCCCAGACCATAATGGATGCCGGAAATTTCATTTTTCTCTTCAGACAGTCAACATGGAATGCTTCATTTTTTTGCGAATAACTCTACTGCGACTGTCACCAACACAAACTTCGAATCGGGCCTCATCACTCCATTGTATTGCACACCATTGTTGAGGTGTCCATTGTCTATGTTCGGCTTTAGCCCATCTAAGCCGATTTTTCTTTTGCAGTGGAGTTAATAGTGGCTTTTCTTTGGCCTAAAAACAAGTTCTGAAACTTTAGGGTTTTTACTTCACTTTTTTTTATAAGAAAACTTACCTTGCAAGTGCTAAATCCCAGTTTGTGGGCCTCTCTATGAGTTGTGGACCTCGAAATTCTCCTTCCAACAGCGTCAGTCCACAGAGCACTTAATTGTAAATAATTGGCACGCCTGTTTTTCACGATTATTTTTCTTAATGCTCTTCGGTCGGCATTTGTGATATTACTTTTTTTCACATATCGTGGCTTAATATTGACTGAACCAGTTACGTTATATCTTCTAACAATATTTCTCACACTGTGCCGCGATAAGTCTAACAAAGTTGCAATTTTTGAGTTTGATTTCCCAGAATAAAAAAATTTAATCATCAGTAACCGAATTTTCTCACTAATAACCTTTCCTCTACCCATTTTGAAAATCTTAACTACCTAAAACTATTTTAAACGTATTCTGACAGCTGTGATTAATAAAAACAATTGTCATGGGTTTTATTTTTCACAGACACCTATGCGTTATAGACTTATTTTGCATTGAAATGAAAATAGGTTGGAAATGGAAATTATTCAGCTGGGGAATCATGCACATTCAAAACAAGTTGCTTACCTTGTCTGCCACCCTTTATGGGAGCATACCTTATGTCCTGAAACAAAGAAAAACACATGTTATTTCATTTCTCGATGGAGCATACAAGGTCTGTAAATTAATTTTATATTGTCATCATTCTGAGGCCACACATCGCTGAAGACGATCCTGGCACTCCTTAAGACAGCCTTCAGCTCAGGGGCGGCAGGCCCTTAAGTTCTGCAGAGCTGCAGAACTGCCAAAACTTTTGTCTTAACAGAAAAAAGCAGTAGAGTAATTTGATCATTATTTATTTTCCATGTTATCACACAAATAGAAACAATACCGGCAACGCAGCCCCCCCAAGACGCGGCGTCGAGTCTGTTTTGTATTGAGAATATATTATAATCGACCAATTGTGTACTTGTTATTTTCGTCGCGACCGCAGCGTAACATTATTCATGGGCCACTTGAAAAGGGTCTGTGCACTACTTCGACACAAGCCGCACGCGCTTGCTTTTGTCTCTCTCTACAAAATCAAATGCGCGATTTAAGCATAAGCATGTGCTGCACGTTATACAGATCCGTACAGATCTAATGCAAAGTACGATATCTGATTGGTCGGTCGGTGCTCGGTATAAAATTTTGCGGAGCATTTGAATTGACGCTACGGCGCCACGACGAAACCGAAAGCTCCCAAAACCCGGGAATATTTCGTGGACTGACTAATTTTTCTGCTGAGCTTGATGCAACCTTAAGCGAACACATAAAAAATGCTTCAATATTTAAAGGAACTTCGAAAGAAATACAAAACGATCTACTGGATTGTATTCTTGAAGTTTGTCATGAAGAAATAATAAAACAGATTAACAGAGCCTCATATCTGGCGATAATAGCAGATGAAACAACGGACATTTCGGGGAAAACCCAACTGGTAACAATTTTCAGATACGTATTTAACGGCGAACCAGTAGAACGTTTTTGGAATTATATGATGAAAAACGTGACTCTGATACTCTCACAAGACATATTTTGAGCGTCGTAGATCCATTAATAGGAAATTTCCCTAACAAACTGGTTTCACAAAGCTATGATGGAGCTGCGGTAATGAGCGGACATAATGCTGGAGTACAGGCAAAAATTAAACAAAGATATCCATTTGCTCACTATGTGCATTGCTATGCGCATCAGTTAAACCTGATTATGTCCCAAGCTGCTTCCGCAAATGCTCAAGTTCGGGTGTTCTTTGGGGATTTGAAAGATATTCCGAGATTTTTTGATAATTCTCCTCAACGCGTAGAGGTTCTGAACAGAACTGCGGGGAGAAAATTCCCCAAGGAGCAACAACTCCTTGGAATTTTAATATTCGAACAATAAATGTAGTGTTTGAGAACATTGAATGCATGGAAGAAATAGAAGAAAATTTCACTAATGAAACCGTTTGCAAGGCAGCTTGCGGTATTCGCCGTATGTTAAACGATTCTGTTTTCGTGTTTTGGTTGACATTTTTTCATCATGTCATGCCTCAAGTCGACATATTGTTCAATCAGTTGCAGAAAAGAAAAACCGAGCCAGCGCAAGTTAAAACGGCTATCGATAATTTTGAAAAATGTATTGTCGATGTGAGAAATACAATTGATGACATAATAAATGAAGCCAAAAGTATTTGCACTGAACCCCAAGGCAACAAAAGGAGACGACGTAATAATAACAGTCACGATCACCGAGTTGCCGCATTAGTGTGCGTCCATACTGAAAGCGCGGTGACTGGGGCCTAGGCGGGCGCGACGAGCGACGACGTGCGGTGGCCATAGTGACACGGAAGCTGTTGTATATGTGTGACGTATTATCAGAAGTCCCAAACTATGGACGACGATTTAGTGTTTTTACTTGACAGTCCGATCCTGAGATGGGAGGTGTTGAACATTCGAGATGGTGTGCATGAAATAAATAGAAACAGAGAAACAAGTGGAGAATTTTTTCATTTGTATGAAGAACTGAGACTATACCCTACCAAATTTTTTGAGTACACTCGAATGCCCGTGTCAACATTTGACTACATCCTGAGTAAAATATCAGCTAAAATCGCCAAAGAAGATACAAACTTTCGGAAAAGTATTAGTCCCGAGGAGAAATTGTTCATAACACTGAGGTAAGAATAAAATAAGATTTTACTAAAAATATAGTATTTATGTGGATAGTAATCAAATTAGTAGTTAACTATAATAAACTGTGAATCTAATTAAAAATTGGTGTAAGTGCCAGTAGTAGAATAGCCTCCATAGTTTTCCTCGTATCTCTGATGAGAAGAATACTGCATCCTTTTTGCCTCGTCTATTATGACTTGGGTAATTTTATTGCGAATACGTAACTTTTGTACTTCACCAAATTGCTTCATTTGTGGCAGAAGACTCATAAAAAAATGATAATCATCACATTTTTCCGGCTGGACATTATTTGTGGCCATTTTCTGTTCTATTAGCAAAAATTTTTTTCTTTCACATTCTATAAGCTCATCTCTATAATCGGATGCTGTTTTGTTGCGCTTTGATGCATTTGTGCGACTGCTGGTGGTTGATGTGCCTGGACTCATCACATCATTTTGCTCCTCAGTATGACAGGACTCGTTCAGGGAATCCGAATCACTATCATGCAGGTTTCCAGTCATGACTTCAGGTGTAATATCATTGTTTAAAAATTGCATGAGTTGAAAGTATGGCCAAGTGCTCTCTGTTTCGTTGGCAGCGTCACCAGAACGCGGCGTAGGGAACTTCTTTTTTTCTTTCCGAAACTGATCGCGCCGGTTCTTCCACTTCTTACGCAGTTGTTTTTCTGTAACAATAACCTTATATTATAATCTGCTTTTTTAATTTCAGGTTTTTATCAACAGGAGCTGGGTTTAGAGCACTGGCATACAGTTTTCGCATGGGGAAAAGTACAATTGCGTCTATAGTTCACGAAACATGCCGTGTTTTATGGGCTGAGTTAGTTCCTATACACATGCCGATACCAACAGAACAACGTCTGAAAGCTATTGCAGAAGATTTTGAAGCAACCTGGAATTTCCCACACTGCATCGGAGCAATAGATGGGAAACATTGAGAAATAAAAAAACCACCTAAATCTGGTTCGGCACATTGGTGCTATAAAAAAAGAAACAGTATTGTCATGCAAGCTGTGGCTGATGCAAAAAGGAGATTTGTAGCAGTGGAAGTCGGCGGTCGCGGGAAGCAAAGTGATGGTGGTACTTTTATAGCATCAACGCTGTATAAGCTTATAGAAAAAAATAAATACAAAATTCCTAGGCCAAAGAGACTCCCAAACTCTGACGTCATTGCACCCTACGTCCTAGTGGGTGATGAAGCATATCCGTTGAAGCATTATTTGATGCGTCCTTATCCGGAGTGAGTGCTTAATAATGAAAGAAAATGTTTTAATATCAGATTGTCTACCGCTAGGCAAACAATCGAATGTGCATTCGGCATTTTAACATGTAAATGGAGAATACTACGAAAACCTATCGAAACAAATAGGAGAAATGCCTTGTATATAATAAAAGCTGCGTGTATTCTACACAATACCATACTGGATTTGAACGGCGATAGCGATTTGGATATTCAGAATGTGCTATCTAACCCGGCATTACGTGAAAATAGTCACAATAACCTCGGAGTGCGAAATAATAATCCATCACGAAGAGCAAAAAATGTTCGTATACAATTCACAAACTATTTCTGGGAACAGTATCGAAGAATGTAATGGTGATGATATAATAAAATATTAAACTTACCTTCACTTCCAGGAAATTGTTCTTTTATTTCATTCCATAACTGTCTTGTCTTTGTGGGGTTACTGTGATGTGGATGCTTACTTTGCCATATAGGTGGCTTAGATTGAATCGCACTTATGAACAATTCAGTATCCACCATTTTGCATGTGCATACGCCGAGCGACAAGACCAAACTGGTTTAATACCGCCGCCACCGCGCAGACTAGGCCCGTAGTGTGGCCAGAAAGCGCGGAACAAGAACGTTTGAAAACTACGCGCGCTGTCTCGCTCAATCCCGTCGCGCTAGGCCTCCGCCTTAGCCCGCTTTTATGCACGCGTTTTTTGTCGCCTGTCGCGTGGCGACAAAAAACGCGTCGTCTTCTCAACGCATTGTCTTGTATGTAGCCATTTTGAATGGAATTTACGCTTTTATTCAACGCGTTTATTGTCGCTGATGCTATGATAGGAACTCTTTCTCAGTTGGTGGGTGTTGTCTAAAGACTGAAGACGTGTGCTACAATGGAACATCTGGATGTCGAACTATTCATCGACGCAATAGAAAAACGACCATCTTTGTGGGATTCATCGTCAGGAGACTACAAAAACAGACAGCTTAAAAGAGACGATTGGAAGGAAGTGTGCGAAATTGTTATCCAAAAATATGGGGAAAAAGATGAAAAAGAAAGGCAGGAAATTGGTAAGCATTTCATGTTAATTACTTTAATACATACACTTACTATTTTGTTTAAATCATATGTTGGTGTTTTGCCATGGCACAGCCCCTGCTGGACTGCTAAAATAGTCAGCGAAAGCATCTCTGTATTTGTAAGCAGACTTACGTCCACGTCCTTCTGGTTCTGCTCTATCATTATCATGCAGCCCTGTTATTGTCAAAGTATCCTCAAATCTGATGCCATCCCTCACACGAACAAAATTGTGTTATATACAGCAAGCTTTGATGATGGATACAGCGACTTCCTCCATCACATTCATCGGTCGATGCAGTATACGCCATTTGTTAGTTAAAATTCCAAAGGAGCATTCTACTTTCCCTCTTGCTCTAGACAAGCGATAATTAAAATTTCTTCTTTTTTCTGTTAAGTTCTTTGCAGGATAAGGACGCATTAAGTTATTTGTTAGTCCAAACGCCTCATCCCCAACGAGTACATATGGCAGTGTTGTTTCTGCTACTTTCTCAGGTTTTGGGATATGTAAGGTATCTTCTTCCAATTTTCTAAACAAGGAGCATTGTCTAAACACCATGGAGTCCGATTCCTTACCATAGGACCCGACATCGATGTATATAAAACAACAGTTGCTGTCGGCAATAGCTAATAGAACAATGGAAAAAAAGTTCTTGTAATTATAATTCAGTGATCCGCTATGTGCAGGCGCGATTATCCTGCAATGTTTACCATCAATAGAGCCAATGCAGTTAGGAAAATTGGTACGTTCTGCAAAATCTTGGGCAATTTGGCGCCAACGTTGTTCAGTAGGTACAGGAAAGCACTCTTCCTGTAATGTACGCCATAGGGCAACGCAAACTCTTGGAATTAGAAGACTTGCCGTTGTGACCCCTAATCTGTAGCTGTAGTGCAGCTCTGTATAGGTACATCCTGAACCTAAATACCTGTAAAACAAAACTGCCATTTAGTATAACGATACAGTTACTTATAATAGTAATATCATGGCCAATCTCCTATGTTTCGGGGTTTCGGCTTAGTTAAATGCAAAGAATACGAATAATTGTCAACAAATTTTAGGTCTCTCATTATTTGTAGTGCATCTAAAACCTTTACTTTATATTATCGGGATGTACGACATATACATAGATGTCAAGGCTCGTATGAGAAACACATTTTTTTTTTAAAAAATTTACATTTAGGTATCTAACATGTTATCTGTTTTTCCTTTTTAGGTAGAGAAGTTCAACTTAAATGGAAAAGTCTGAGGGATGCTTATGTTCGTACCATTCGACAGTCTAAGGGAAAAAATCAGGAGCGTCTGCTAAAGCTGTAAAAACGTACATCTATGCTAAACAATTAGGATTTTTACGAAAGGTGACTGGTTCCCGTCAGACAGAGAGCTCACTACCAAGTACATCAAGAGAGGGCCAAGAAGATATGGATGTTTCAAAGGACATAAATGACATGCAAAGTACTTCATCAGATGTCCAACATACTCAGTTCGACAGCCAAATGGAAACTGGACGAACTCCTAGTAGAAGTACTCTCTATAGAAGAAAGAAATCAGATTTAGAAAGTAAACTTGCAAGCTATATTGATTCCCATAACAGACAGCCAGCATTAGCTATACAAAGTCAACCACAAGAAACTGATGACATGGCCTTTTTTAGATCATTACAAGCAAGTTTAGATACGCTCACTCCGAATGAGAAATTGAATTTTCGAATAGAGGTCATGCAATTATTAAGCCGATATACTAACAAACAACCAAATCAGTATATACACAATTTTCCAAATCATATACCCCATTACCAACCACAGCAATATCCAGTAATGACCAACATCTCTAATATACGTTTTAATATGCCAGCACCTCCATTCGCATCATATTCTACAGTATCATCTGAGATCACACCTCATTTGCCTCATCCTAATACTGATACTAATGAATCACTTGCTGTGACGTCACCACAAACCCCATTTTCTCCGACGGAATCGGAAAATTCAATAATTTCACAAGCCGAATCACTAATATCACTGTTATCAAATCAATAATATGTATGAACTGTTTTGCTATAGTGTTTGATGTTTTACTCTTATTTCCTGAATAAATGGTTTATTTCTTCAACTTTCTCATAAACTTACCTCAACGTCATTGATAACATTTCTTCTGCTTCGAATGCAAATCCTTGAATCAGCTCCCTATCTTTATTGAAAGTGTTTTTTAACTTTTCACATAGCTCATCAAAGGAAGCTATCGACATACGGTAATAATTAAAGAATTTGTCATTGTCTCGTCTTAGTTCTTTGTGTAGTGTATAATATGTGCCTCTGAGATTTCTTGCACTATTTATTGGGTGAACGCTCCAACGTCTCTTGCGTCTCTTTTTGATTATATATTTGTATGCCAAGTATACAACACACGGATCCATTATTTATCAATCAATGCACCACACTTCCTTGTTTAGACGATACGATGGCCACTGATCTATCTGAAAGCGACACGCCACAAACAACGTTAGACAAAAGTTCCATTTTGTTTCATCTATAAACGCCGCGTTTTTTGTCGCCACGCGACAGGCGACAAAAAAAGCGTGCATAAAAGCGGGCTTAGTCACTGCACTATGGACACAGAGGCGCGTTTCATAATGTTTGATACTTCGCGCCCGTCGTCGCAACCGCGCTAGGCCTGCAGTATGGACGCACACTTAGAAGTATGCAACAATATAGTGAATTCTGCAGATGACAGATTTCAATTCAAAGATCATTTGGTAGCCTTTTTTCCCCGAATACTTTGGAGAAAGTTAAAAGTTTCCTGATGATAAGTTGGAAACTACCTGCTTGGCTTATCCCGAATTAGAAAAAAGTCTTTCAAAGACAGAGTTGTCTGTTATTTATGCACGGAATGATTGCCGAGATTTACATGAAACTCTGTCTCTTTTGAAATGTTTGATACAAAATAGTTTGGAGGAAACACTAAAAGAAACAAAAAACCTATTAGAAATTATTGTTACGACTCGTATGTCAACATCAGAGGCTGAGCGAAATTTCTCAACATTGAAAAGAATCAAGACTTTTCTTCGTAATACTATGACCCAGGATAACCTTACAGCGTTGTCGATGCTGTCCATTGAAAAGGAATTTATTTCGACCATGGAAAATTTCAACGGGAAGGTGATCGACAAATTTACTGCCAAGAAGGAGCGCAGGATCGAACTGACATATAAAAGGTAGGTAAGTTCGGATTTGCAGAACGCCTGTTTTATTCTGCCACGAGCCGCCACTGCTTCAGCTAGTCGGTTACAGCCGTTTGAATGTTTTCGACTGTCTCAGAAACTAAACGGTAGGTTCTGCTAAAACTTCTCAAGAATTTGTTTCAATATAAAAGCTTGAACAAATCAAAATTTCAGATATTCCTACAAAATCTTATCAAACGCAACTACCACTACATTTTCAAAACACCTTGATGAACAAAAAACGCGCTACAGTATATTCAGATAAGAGATAGACCGGATGTAAACAAAAGGTTCGGGTGATTTTCACGCTAACGCCGCCGTCTCGACGTAAAACAGGAGCCCTCATTGGTCAATTCGCAATTAAATGCCTATGCCGAGCGGCAGAGCAGTCGTATCAAGGCAGAGTTACATTCAGGTTCAGACGTGTTACGTATGTCGTGTGCATCATTGCAATTTGATATTTCTTTGGACGTTTTCGTTTGTTATCTTATTAAGTTGTTGAGTTTGTCGTTGTTATTGTTATACCTTGTTATTGATTGTTATTGTTATCAACTGCTTGCGTAAAATGCCCAGTAGTGCAGATACTGCCGATGAAGTTGTATACTCCTGTAGTCCACCTAGGAAACGCTCTAAAAAAAGACACCTGAGTGCAGAAATGAAAGAGGTCATTTTGAATATATATAAGATCGAGCGCGAGGAGAACGAGGCATCAACCATCAAAGAAATTGTTGTGAAGGTTTCTCACAAAGTTGGGGTGTGTTGCGCATCAGTGTTTAATGTGTTAAGACAATACAAAAAAAATCACACCTTTTCTGAGCCACTGACCAATAAACATCGCAAAAGTATTGTTAAATCATTGGATGAAGCTGATAAGCATGCGATTAGGAGGAAAGTGCATGAATTCTTCTTTAGGAATGAAATACCTACTATAGATAAAGTACTGCAGGAGGAAAATGGAGATACAACGTTGCCAAATTTCAGACGATCAACTTTCCATGCGTTACTGAAGCATTTAAATTTCAAATGGAAAAAACGGGGTCGTAATAGTTTACTACTGGATAGAGAAGAAATTGTGCTATGGAGGAGGGATTATTTAACAAAAATTGGGAAATATAGAAATCAAAACAGGAAGATTTATTACCTTGATGAAACGTGGGTAAATGCAGGACACACTACAAGTAAAGTATGGGTTGATGATTCTGTAACTTCATCCAGGAGGGCCCTTCTAGATGGACTGTCCACCGGATTAAAAAATCCAGCAGGTAAATACGAGTAATAGACAACAATCGGATGTTTTTCAAACCTTGGGAACAAGGTTCTAAACATTAATTCCAGGGGGCAGATAAAACATATTACAAGTAACAAAACTTTTATAACTTTCGATAAAATGCGTGGATGTTTTATTGTCATTTTCATTTGTTAGAACTTTTTTAAGCCATGTTTTTATGTGTTTTCGATATTTCAATAATTTTTTAATATAATCTTAAAATATGTCGAATATTATAAACTTAAAAAAAGTTACTAAGTTTTATATTGTGTACCGTTCCTAATATTTCTAATCATTTTAATTCATACTTTAAGCTTTATAAAGTTATAATTTGTTAATATTAATATTTGCGCGTATTTCAGGTTCCTGATCATTCATTTTTTAAAGGTTTATAACTTTAAATTAAATTGTGAAGCGCTGAGTAATCATACGACGTTCAATATTCTTTCTTTCAATATGACTAAATAATCCCAATTATAGGAATCTGATACTCATGTCTCAATGTTTTTTCGCTGAATGTGATGAAAACATTTGAAAAAGGTTCGCTTATTGAAATAAATCTACACCAGTTAGTACTTCGATTTCCAGGTAAAGGGAAAAGGCTCATTATCTGCCATATTGGCAGTGAGGATGGATTTGTTGTTGACGGTCTGTGGTGCTTTGAGTCTAAGAAAACTGGAGATTACCACGAGGAAATGAATGGCGAATCGTTTGAACAGTGGTTTTCAAAAATTTTACCGAACTTAGAGGAAAACGCAATAATTGTGTTGGATAATGCGCCTTATCATTCTCGAAGAATGGAGAAGGTCCCAACAACGGCTTCAAGGAAAGTTGATGTTCAAAATTGGCTCCGCTCGAAAAATATCAACTTTGAAGAAGCAATGCTGAAAGTACAATTATTAAGAATTGTCAAGGATCACAAGGCGGAATATCAAAAATACGCCATTGACGAAATGGCAGCAAGTCAAAATAAAACTGTGCTCCGTTTACCTCCATACCATTGCGAGCTCAATCCCATTGAGCTCATATGGGCAGAGGTTAAAAATTATATAGCTAAGCACAATACAACTTTTAAATTTTGTGACCTCAAAGGACTTTTCAAAGAAGCACTAGAATTAATAACAGCGCAAAAATGGGAAAACTGTATTAAGCACGTGAAAGACAAAGTTGAAAAGAGAATGTGGGAACTGGACAATATTTTAGAGGAACAAGTCGAGCCATTCATTATTGACGTTGGTGCTTCAGGCAGTAGCGATGATGAAAGCTCATCAAGCTCATCTTTCCAATAAAAGATGTCGTTCATCAAATTCGGTAAGTTATAAGTAATTATAAAGCTACTGTATTTTTTAATTAATTATTGACATTTTTGAACCCGTTTTGGCAAAACCTATTCAAGAATCTACTTTCTGACAATGTTCAACCATGCACATTTTTTTACGTTTTGAACGTTTTAATTTGGTTACATATTTACCTAGAAATCAAAAAATATACTAATCAATATTCTAAAAGCAATTTTAAGAGATATACGATTATTTTTAATTTAGGCTAATTTAAACGCCATTTTGAGATTATATTTGACTGTATTTCACCAAACATCAGACGGCATCCGAAGCTGGAAATCGAAGCGAAAATTTTGAAACCCTTATGTATATTTACATCATTATATATTTCTTACCCCACCCCCACATGATCCTATATCCATCACCAATCGTATACACATCGAATTGTGCTAATTTACTACAAAGTTACGCAAAGCAGCATCTACTATCTAAAATATGTACTGCGTGACTCTTAATACGTCCCTGCCGAATGTTACAGCGTTCGATGATCACGTGGTCTTGTTTATGTCCGGTTTATCTCTTATCTGAATACAAGTATACTGTAGCGCTCATCCGGTTCCGATGGATGGCCGAGTTTTGCCAAAGAGCCGTTCATTTCTGGCATGAACACATCTCGTCAATAGCACTAATTGTACGGAAAAAGCTAGGCTATTTGTTCAGGGCTAAGAAGTATTTTTCTCCGCATAACCTTGTTATGAAGAGCATACTTGATCCAAAGACAAAAGTTATATGCAATTATTTTGATCTGCTCAATTGCCAGTAACTGAATACCGTGACTAACCACTTAAGCAGGTTATTAGACTTAGTAATTACACATTTTACTTGTGAGGTCACTCATGATGTTATGCCTTTGGTGTCGGAAGACAAACATCACCCTGCTTTGAATATCTGTATAC